GGCAAATGGCAATCTGAATTTTAAAAGGAATATGAATAAAATTCTGTTTTATTTTGAAAATGAACTTTCTGCCCTCCATCATGAATCCAATATATGTCTTAATCTTCTATGCTCTTGAAGCCTGCGGCTCCTGGCTGAGTCCTTTGACTCCTGAACCTAATAAGGAAATAGGTTGTTTTCTCATCCTCGTCTCATTTTTAGAAGGGCTGAAACAAACAGTCCCCTATTTCAAATGTAATTGACAAAGCATAAAAACATGTATGTTATATAATTTTAGGTTTACAATCAAGCTCAGCACTGGGATGTTTTATTTTTAAATTTGATTAAGATGTTATACCTTTGGAAATGTGCTGTCAAGGTTTGAAATCAAGATTTCCAAGTGTACAATGCATGTTTACCTTAGAACTGTACATGTGAAGCTGATAAAGGATAGAGTGGATAATGGTACACTTCAATTGGGAACATTTTCATTTAACCTGGACATTATTTAGAGCCATACAGAGGGTTGTATAGACAGAACTTAAAAATATATATTTATGGCTATTGTTGCTGTTTAAAAATCAGCTGTGTATGTGCTCTGTCTGTGTCTATGTTTGCTTTTTTCTCCTAAATAGAAGTTAGTTTATGTTATATTTATAAACTTATGGTTTACATATCCATTTAAATTAATGACTTCTAATTAGAAAATGCTTCTCTTTCCAGAAAAATAGGAATTGGATATTTGAGTGTTTGTCCTTTTTTATTTGAAAATTCTACGAATACTATATTGCCATGGCATAATTACTATTGTTATTTTTTTAATAAAATAATTATAGAAACTACTCTTTAAGAAGAGAAAGGGTAGAATTTAAGCACTGAAAATAATTACAATTAGGCATCCTATGTACCTATTGTATCTTATAATTATGTTTTTTGTTGCATCACCACAACTTAACTAATCATTCTAAAGACATAAAGGCTGACATTTCAATGTGTATGTGCATGTTGTCTATAAAAAAGACACATGAAGAGTTAAGCAATGAGTTACTTTAATACTTGGATTTTGTTTTAACCTAAAAGTAGCTGATTATTGTTTTATGGAAGAGAGTTGGATTTTAAATGTCTTTGTCATTGTACGGCCATTCTAAGCTTAGAGCAATTAACATTATTTACAATGATGCTTTAATTATTCATGTTAGATACATGGAAAATTTTTTAAAACTTTAAATTGCTATGTCTTGTCCCTGTTCCCTTTCCTGATATTCCAATAATGCATAGGCTTCTGGAAAACATGAACTAATATATACTTGATAGAGTCATTCATGAGTCAACAAATAATTATTGAATATCCAAACAGTGAATTAATAACTAAGTATATAAAGATAAATAGGACATGGTGTAGCAACAATAAAACAAACAATATAAGAGTTGCCATCAGTGAGACAAGTGAAATAAAAATGGTTGCAAAAGGTGAGTTAAAAGCACAGAGGAAGACAGATAACCTGGTGTGGGAAAGAGGAACCCAGGGGAAACATTATGGGAAAAGCGATGCTTCAGAGTATTCTTAAAAGATTATGTGAACTATGTGAGATAAAGGGAAGCTTTAGATTATCTTCCTATGGAGTAAATTTATTTTATTTTTTAATGTGTAAGTAAAAGAAGGGATACATGTATGTCAAATAACTGAAAATATGAAATATGGAGTCCATATTGTGGGTAACTTCTTATTAATAATATTCATTTACTGCTTCCTCATCATATAACTGCCATGTAGTTTGGCAGATAATGGTTTCAGGTCCAGGAGCATGTGTTGCTTAGGCTAAGCCAATTAAGATAGTGTTATTTCCCTAGAGAATTATTGTTCCAAAAACTTAGGTTTATGTAAGTCATCTTATAATAATACATAGACATCTTATCTTGGTTCAAGTATTGGCATATGACTTTGGTTGACACAATTATACTACAGGATAGTGATTTTCTTTCATATCTATAGGAATAATAAACTGTCTTGTACCAGACATGAAGGTAGAAAAGATGCTATAGCTGTAGACGTGTCCACATTCCAGGAAGAAAGAAAGAATACAACAAAGCAGAATGATACACATGCCAACTGTGTGATACACAGCATACGCCAATAAAGAACCTTCCCAGGAACCATACCCAGTGAATTGTTTAGATCTTAGTGGCCAAAACTGTGTCATATGCCTAATTTTAGCTGCAAAGGAAGCAGAGAAAATATTTTCACCTAGAACATGGCTCCTCCAAATAAAGTGCAGCTTCGTTAGTAAATAAAAATGTGAGAATTGATATTAGGTAGCCTACTAACCATTTCTAACAACAGTCCTTGACCCCAAAGTGTTCAAAGTCGATCATGGAAACATAAACATAAAAATACTTCAATATGTTTTAAATTCTATTTCTTTTTTTTGTGGGGGGGGACATAGTCTCACTCTTTCGCACAGGCTGGAGTGCAGTGGCACAATATCTCTGCTCACTGCAACCTCTGCCTCCCCGGTTCAAGCAATTTTCTGCCTCAGCCTCCCTAGTAGCTGGGATTATAGGCACCTGCCACCACACCCTGCTAATTTTTGTGTTTTTAGTAGAAATGGGGTTTCACCATCTTGGCCCAGCTGGTCTTAAACTCCTGACATGATGCACCAACCTCAGCCTCCCAAAATGCTGGGATTACAGGTGTGAGCCACTGTGCAGCCTTTCAATTCTACTTCTACCAACAAGGTATTGCCAAGGAGAGAGCAATCTTTACATTATAAATGTTTACCTGTGGGAAAGCAATAGATTACATTTTCCTATGTAGAAATTCGAGTCAGTTTTAGCTTCAAGGCACAACAACTCCAATACTGTAGAAAAGAAAACAAACAAGAAAAAAGAAGTTAATAAATTTTGGAAACCAAGAATGGGCATTATCTGTGGACTGATACCCTGATGCACCGTTTGAGAGAAAATAGCAAAAACAAAACCAAGGTAGAAAACCAAGGGAATGGTGAATATTTGAGGCTTTTCTCGGAGCACTCTTGGCTACTTCACTAGGAAGATGGGGAAATGTGGTGCCTGACAGCCTCAGTGGCTGAACCTTCTTGGGGCTATAATGCACACAGTATTAGCAAGTCTCTCTAGCCAACTCATGCGGAAAAAACACAGCTGTCTCATCTGCTGAGAGAAGGCAAGCAGTCTTCCACCGCTACAGAAGTCTCCTACACACCATCTTCTGCAGAGTTTGTGCAGCCCATATGAAGCATAGAATTGTCATGTTGTAGAGAATAAGCACATATCACCAAATATCTAATGTCAAATAACGCTTGATAGTAAGTGAAAGTAGCAGCCAACGAAACACAAATAATAGAGTCAACTGAAAAAATGATTTAATAGTGAAATGACACATACATGAAATAAAAAGCAATTATTTTTTAAAATTCACAATTTTAGAAATAAAATATGCCTATTCAAATAACAAATTTGACTTCAGATAATGTCTAAATAGTAGAACGGATATTGATAAGGAGCTAAGAAAATTCTTTCTGTACAACATAAAAAAGAAAAGAGATGTAAAACCTGAAATACAAATGAAGAGACATGGAGAACATATTAAGACTTTCCAATATATATCTAAAAGTAGTTCCCAAATCAGTGAGTTAAAAGAATAAAAGGGAAAAGAAAATAAGAGTCCCTAACACTTTCTCCAAAACTTAATAGAACTGTTATTTTAAATTATTTCACTAACAATTGAACAGATGATTTTTTTCATATTTGTTGTTTATATATAACAAACTAAGAATAAGGCTAGCCTCAAAGTTATAAAAAAATAGAAAGTTACTTTAAATCTAGAGTGTTTTTCCTATCTTTATCAACATGCATGGACCAGGTTTCTCTAGTCTTGCAAAAGCTCAGAAATTTCACCTGTTAAACTCATTAATAGAGAATGTACTTCAGTAAAATAAAGAAAACGGGATTCAGAATAAAATTAGTGTTTCAAGAAGCACTAAAAAGCACGTGTACCTATCAGACGAGATCTGGTGCATTCAGGGTGGTATGGCAGTAGATACACATATCAATTAAACATAATGTTAGGTATAAATAAATACTGATACTATTAAATAATTACTTAAACAGCAATTTGGAATATTATCCCAGATTATAGCAACATGGTTACTGACCAGAGAGTGATTAGGGTTAAAAGTCAAGCAAAATACAAATGTACAAAAATTTTTGTCTTCAGTGGAGTATGTGTAGGGGTGGAGAGTATTTTCACAGGCAAAGGGACAGGCAAAGATTTATTAGAACACTAAAACCATAGGCATCATGGAAATATGATAAATTCATTTTGTTGACATTAAATACAGCTGTTCTTTAAAAGACAGTGTTGTGAAAAAAGAAAGGCAGTTAATAGAAACTACCCACAAAAGTCGTGTTAAAGAACTGACTAGAATATGTAAAAAAATGCTTACAAATTAACAATAATAAAAAATAAGCAAATGAAGATGGGTCAAATGTTTTAATGAGCACATCACAAAAAAAAAAAAAGACGTTTGACTGACCAAAAAACAAATGCAAAGGCTCTTACCATTGATATTCATTAATAAATAAGATATAAATTGAAGGCATAAGCAATTGAAAGCACAATGAGATACTACCATTTATGCCTTGTTAAGGGGTTAAAATTTAACAGCTTGACAATAGCAAATGATGGCAAAGATGTGAAACTCTGGTATATTACTGGTTCTAATGCAAAATTGTACAATCTGGAAATTACTTGGCTAAAACTAGAATATATATATATATATATATATATATATATATATATTTGCTGCTAATGTAAAAGGGGTTGAGTTCTTCATTTGATTCTCAGCCTCGTTGCTCTTTGTGTACAGCAGAGCTACTGATCTGTGTGCATTAACTTTTGTATCCTGAAGCTTTGCTGAATTAATTTATCAATTCTAGGAGATTTTTGGAGGTGTCTTTAGGGTTTTCTAGGTCAACAATCATATCATCAGCAAACAGAGACAATTTAACTTCCTCTTTTCTGATTTGGATTCCCTTTATTTCCTTCCCTTGTCTAATTGCTCTGGCTAGGACTTCCAGTACTATACTGAATAAAAGTGGTAAAAGTGGGCATCCTTGTCTTGTTCCAGTTCTCAGAGGAAATGCTTTCAACATTTACCCATTCAGTATTATGTTGGTTCTAGGTTTGTCACAGATGGGTTTTATTACATTAAGGTATATCCCTTGTATGATGATTTTGCTGAGGTTTTTAATCATGATGCTGGATTTTGTCAAATGCTTTTTCTGCATCTATTGAGATGATCACATGATTGCGTTTTTAATTCTTTTTATGTGGTGTATCGTATTTATTGAATTGCGAATGCGAAACCATCACTGCATACCTAGTATGGGGCGATATGATTGCACAGAAAATCTCAAGGAATCTATAAAAATATTGTATAACTAATGAAAGAGTTGGACAAGGCCATAAGATACAAGGCCAACAGGCAAAAACACAGTTGTTTTTCTATATAGTACTGATAATTAGTCAGACATATTTTTAAAATAACATTTACATTAGCTCCAAAATCATGAAATGTATAGCTACAAATCTCATAAATCTTGTACAGAATCTATATACTGAAAACCACAAAATGCTCATAAAAGAAATCAAAGAAGATATAAATAATTGGAGAGACATACAGTGTTCATGAATTGGAAAATTACTAGAAGTGTCAGCTATCTGTAAATTCACAAAAAGATTCAAAACAGTTTATATCAAAATTCCAGCAAAATATTTTGTAGATATACAAAAGGTTACTTTAACACTTACATGGCAAGGTAAAGGAACAAGAATAGCTAAAAATTTAAAAAAGGATAAAGATGAACGGGTTATTATTCACTCTGATTTCAAATTTCTTATTACAGAGCTGTAGTAATCATACTGTGTGGTATTTGTAGAGAGATAGATGTATAAATCAGTGGAACAGAATACAGAACCTAGATAATAACCCCATACAAATACAGACAACTGGTATTTGACAAAAGTGTGAAAGTGTCCAATGGAAGAAAGTCTTTTCAACAAATAGTGCTGCAACGATTTGTTATCTACAGACAAAAAAAAAAAAAAAAACGGAATCTCATGCCTTATGTAAAAAAAAACTAACTCAAAATGGATTTCAATTTAACTGTAAAACATAAAGCTGAAAAACTTTTTTAAAATGCCGTAGGAAAATACCTTTGAGACCTAGGACTTGCTAAAGAGTTCTTGAATACCTTTGAGATCTTGCGCTTGCAAAATAATTGTCTATAAAAGAAAAAAAAAATCAAGAAAATGTCTTTACTAAGATTGAAATCCTTTTCTCTGTGAAAGTCATACTCTGTTCAGAGGAGGAAAATACAAGCAACAATGGGGAAAAAATTTGAAAACTACGTATACGACAAAGATCTCGTATCCGGAATATGCAATTAAATATCGAAACTCAGCAGAAAGAGAATAAATAACTAACTTTCAAAAATCGATAAACGACAAATCATTACTTCCTCAAATAATATATAGAAGACAAGTAAGCACATGAAAAGTTTTATATTATTTGCCATTTGTGAAATGCAAAGTGAAACCATGATGTGTTAGCAGTAGACATGTAGCAAAATGGCTAAAACTTTTATAAAGAAAATACTAAAAAAAAATGGTAACAATAACTAACAGAAATGGTGATTCATTGCTGGTGGAAATGTCAAATGGTTCAGTTAGAAAAATAGTGTAGCAAATTCTTGTAAAGTTAAATCTATTCTTAACTTGTAATAGTCCCACTACTAAGTATTTACCCCAAGGTAAGGGAAACTATGTTCTCATCAAAATCTGTACATGAATATTTATAGCAGCACTATACATATTCTTCCAAACTGTAAATGGCCTAAATGTCTTTTAGAAAGTGATTGGATAAACAAACTGTGTCACATCCATAAAATAGGATAGTAATAAAAAGGAATGAGTTAGCTAGATAATCAAGGTTAACATCAATAGTATTAAGTCATGATAGTATGTATTCTTGCTGTGATGTGATAGAAATGACAAAGGTGGGCTTCTGTGATCTTCCTCCCCAAAACTCATAATCTCAACGTAATCATGAGAAAAGCATCAGACAAATTCTAATTGAGGAACATTCTACAAAGTGCCTCACCAGTACTCCTCAAAACTGTCAAAATCTTCAAAAATAAGGACAATCTGAGAAAATGTCACAGCCAAGAGGAGCCTAAGAAGACATTACAAGTAAACGTAATTTAGTATCATAAATGCGACCTTGGAATAGAAAAACAATGTTAGATTAAAATGAAGGAAGCATGGATAATGTATGGACTTTAAATACTGGTTCCTTAACAGTGGCAAATACACCATACGAATACAAGATATTAATAACAGGTGAAACTGTGTGAGTGCTACAGGAACATTGTGTATTATATTCATATTTTTCTGTAAATATTTAACTGTCTTAAAATGAAGATTTCATTAAAATATTTTTAAATGGATAAAAAGAAACCTTATAATTAAAGCCATACATGAAAGAAAGTTTTTAAAAATATGAAGTAAACTATCGACATATACAACAACTTGGGTGAATCTCAGAGACATTACTCTGAGTGAGAGAAACAAGTCTCAAAAGGTTACTTACTGTATGGCTTCACTTACGTTCTCAAAAAGACTGTAGTGATGAAGAATGCATTAGTAATAGTCAGGGGCGAGATGCTTAAAGGAAATTGATTGTGAAGTGACGGCAACAGGAAATTTTATGGAGAAAATCATTCAATTTCTTTCTTTGATGTAATGGTTACTCAAATCTAGACGTGTTAAAATTCAAATAACGTACATCAAAAAAGATAATTTTATGTTGATTAAAGATAAATAAATTAAAAAATAAAGAAGCAAGTTAGAGAGATGTACATATGGTATACCTCTTTGAGGAAGAGGAAGGGCAAGAAAACAAGTACATAGAGCTCTGTCGGCTTCTATATATATAGCAATCATCTGGAAGAGTAAAGAACCCAATAAACGCAGTTATTTGGGGCAAGCTGGAAAATAACTTTTTATTGTTTTCCTTTAAATATTTTTGAGTTGGTTATTTATGTTAAAGGTAAATGTAAAGAAAAATTTTTTTTAAATGTATACCCAAAGATTTTTACAGGAATAGTCATAGCTTTTTCTTTGTAACAGCCAAAACCTAGAAGCAAATCAAACGTACATGCAAAGAAGAGTGAATATACGAATTGTGACATTGTCATATAAGATATTACTTGGCTTAAAAAGTAATACAGATGAATCTCAAAGGCATTGTGCTACACAAATTGACTCAGTCACCAAAGAGTACATACTACGTAATTCTATGAATATCAATTGTAGAGGAGGCAAATATCTAGTGGGGAAAAAAAACAACAGATTACAGATTATCTGGAATGAAGGGGATTTTAACATCTGGGGGAGGAGATGACCATGTAGGGGCTTGATGAAACTTTTTGGGATGATAAAGATGTTCTATATCTTAATTGTATCAGTGGTTAAATAAGTGAATATATTTGTTAAAATTTACCACTTACTGCATTTCATTGTATGCAAATTATACCTCTAGGTTGATTTTTCTTAAAGAATATACCTTATTTAATATGGTAATTTTTTAAAAATAGGGCTATTCGAAGGGGAATGGGAAAAATGTTTAGAGAAATTGGAAATGAGAAAATGGGGAATGGAAAAATGGTTTGGATAAATTGATGTCATTTCATTTTTTTTTAGTTTCATGCACCCTACTAATAAGCTTCTTCCAATTTTTAAAAGCCTGGTTGACAAACTGAATCTTGAATGTAAACAACAGATATGAGCTTTAGAAATTATACATAATTATAAATGTAAAGCCACGATGTAATTATTATCTGTTACTTTTCAGCATGAGAAAAGTTAATAACATTTTTCAGAATATGAACAAGGTATCTGTGAGCAAATAGAATTATTATTCGTTTGACAAAGAACAAAACTGATGGGATTAGGGTCTCTAGAGAGCATGGTCCATGATGATATTTGGTGGCAAGGAAAAGGCACCATAATTACTAGTACTATATTTTTTTCTCTTTTCTTACAAAGTGTGTGAGAGAACTCATATGTCCTCCTTCGTAATCCTTTTAAATTTTTGTAAACTGATTGGTATGGAATGACATATAATTGTAGTTTAATTTATATGTTCTTGATTAATAGTGAAGTTAAATATCTTATTTTGTATTAACTGACCATTTGGGTTTCAACTTATGTGACTTTCTAGTCAAATCTTTGTCACTTATTTTACTTGGCTGTTTTTTTTCTCTTATTCTGCCTATGTGAGCTTCTTAATACTAATCCTTTGAAAGTTTCATGTGATACACAGATCTCTTCTTGTGGCTTGTATGTTTCTCTCTTTGACTTCTTTCTTTAGGTTTGCTTTTTAAAGTTTTCAGTCTTAGGTGACTAGTTCACCTAGAATTTACTTTTAAAAATATTTTAAGGTGAAAATATTCTTCATTCCATTTGGCTGGTAGAATCAAACAATTTTTCTGTCAAATTTATTGAATAATTCATCTGTCCCACTGATTTAAAATGTCTTCATTTGCATATATCAAATTTCTATATATGTATGGGTCTGAATCACTGGTTTGTTCATCCTTTTATCAATGGTGAAATATCAAAATTTCATTAGCATTATACTTAGTCTTCTAAATTGTAGAACAGTCCCCCAATCTTGTGCCTCTTTTTCAGATTCACTATGCCTATTCTTGAATATATGATCAGCTTGAGAACTTTTGTAAAATAACCTTTTGTGATGTTATTTGAAATTGCAATTAACTGTGGGAGAATTTTCACCATATGGTATTGAATTTTCCCATTCATAAACATGGTATGTCTCTATACTTACTTACATCTTACCTTCTGTGTCCAAAGTTTATAATATTCACTGATATTAGAATCTTATAGATTCTGTTACTTTTCTAAGATGATCTATTTATTAAATTATAAAGTTTCTAATAATCTTTTACTGATATAAAAATATACTCTCAAATTGAAATAACTTACAATATCTATTAATATTTCTATGGATGTGTCTGGACTTTTGGGTAGACAATTCCTTGCTTATAAACATTCCTTTCTGTTTCTTCTTTAATTTATACATTTTTAAGCTTATTTCATAGTTTAGAATATCTAATGTAATACTGAATAGAAGTATGACAGAAGACATCATTGCCTTGTATATGGATTTAAAGAAAACTATTACATTTGCTTTGAAAAACAATGTTTGTGTAAGTTTATGATAAATAACATTTATGAGGAAAAACATTTTTCTATTTCTAGTGTTATAAAATGTAACTGTTATTTAATGGTTAATTCTTTATTGAAATTATCTAATTATTTTTATTTCTATAATATTTAATGTGTTGGTTAAAATAGATTTTTTAATATTAAATCAACTTTAAACATTGTGATTTGGTATTTTTTAAAGATTATTTTACTATGTTTACATGTAAAATCAGTTTTAATGAGTTTTCTTCATATAATTCTTGCATTGTCTGCTATAAAAACTTATACTATCCTTATAAAATGATTTGGTGAGCATTGTTTTTTTTCTCTAAAAATTTTTTTCATAATATTGGGCTTTATGTTGCTTAAATGCAAGATACAATATATTTACAGAACATGTATGGGAATGCCTATTTTTTGGGTGAGGGACAAGGCATAAATTTTGCAGATATAAATATACAGAGATACTATTTTATCATGAATAGGGTGGGTAAGTTACAATTTTTAGAAACTAGATTTTATGTCTTTTTATAGAAATATATAGGATTTAGCAATTTTTTAAAACTGGCTACATTGCACACATTTGACATGTACCATTTTCATTATTGTACAATTCTAAATGTTTCCTAGGTTTCATTACAATTTCTGAAGTAATCCACTGTTTACTTATAGTAGGTTATAAAATTTAGGCTCTTTTGTTACTTATCTCTACCTTAGTTATTTCCAGCTTAGAAAATCTATTCTCTTTAACAATTACTCCCACACACCTGTTTTTGTGAAAATATTTATGCTGTAGCTTAGTATGTGATCAGGTTTCATAAGTCTACCACTGTGTGCTAGAAAAATCAAGTTCTCTACATAATGACTACAGGTATTACGTATGTTTGTGAGAACTTAATAATTGTTCATCATATTGATAAAATAATCTGTATTTTTACTGATTTTTTTTACTTGATTTAATAATAACTAAAATAGATATACTAAAATCTGTAAAAGTGTATTTGTCAATTTCTCCTGATAATTATACTAATTAATTATCTGTTTGAATTTAGAACAATGTTAAATGAAACAAAAATTGGGAATTGTTGTATTTATTTTCTTCTTATTAATGTTTAAGTATGTTTATTTTTAAACTATTAGAACTATAACAGTTTTACTCATATTAACTAGTATTATTATTAAAACTGCCTTTTAAATACCAAGTTCAGTGAAATCGCATTTGTTGTATTTACTGATTTTTATTATTTATATCATATTATTTGGCTATTATTTTGTTTTCTTTTTCCACTATTTTTCAAATAATCTTCAACTTGTCAAATTTTATCTATTCTACATTTTATCTCTAGTACCAAGAAAGTTAAGCATTAAACTCTTAACTTATATACTTAATAAAGTCTAATGTTAGTAATTGTTTCTGCCATTCTCACAAAAAAATCCACATTTTTAAAATTAAAAAACTTTTACATTTTATATTTGTTATGTTTGATCAGTATAATATTCATTATTGTTATAACAATTATTTCATAGTGTCAGAAATTAGTTTACCCACTGCTTATATAGTTAGATAGATAGATAGATAGATAGATAGATAGATAGATATCATATTATATATAATACATTTGTCTGTGCTTTATATATTTCATTTCCTTTTCCTCCTTGTAATTTCTTTCTTTCTGATTTATATCATATTGCCATTCTTTTGGGACTGGCATGTAAGTATTATTCTGTTCCTATCTCATTTTAATTCTTTAAAGACATATTTGGTTTTATTACTTGCAAAAATTTGTATATATGTAGGGTAGAAGCATGATGTGCCAATAAAGGGATATATTATGGAATGTGTAAATCAAGTTTATTAACATATTTATTATCTCCATATTTATCTTTTTTGTGATGAGAACATGCAAAATCTACTGTCTTAACAATTTTCAGTTATATAATGCATTGTTATTAACTATAATTATCACATTTCACAATATATCTCTTGAACTTATTCCTCCTGTATAATTATCCTTGACTATCTTCCCAGTCACCCACTACCTCACTCAGTAACCACCATTTTACTCCACTTCTGAGTTAAACATTTTTAGATTACACATATAATGAAATTGTGGGGTATTTGTCTTTCTGTGCTTGGCTTTATTTCACTTGGCATAGTATCCTCCAAATTAACTCATATTGTCACAGGTGACAGAATTTTTTTATTTTTTAAGGCTGAATGTATTCCATTGTGTGTATATATCACATTTCCCTTAACCATTCAAATATTAAAAAATAGAGCTGCCATATTATCCAGCAATCCCACTTCTGGACATTTTTTTTTTTAAATGAAATAAGTATGTCAACCCAGCACCCGCCCAAACCTCCCTCACCTACCTCAGGAATTTCTCCCGATGTTATCCCTCCCCCTCCACCCTGTCCCTCACTGTCCCTCCTGTCCCCTCCCCTCCCCCTGTTGTCCCTCCCCTCCCCTCCACCTGCCCACCTAGCCCAGTGAGTGTTGCTCCCTTCCCTGTGCCCAAGTGTTCTCATTGTTCATCACCTGACTATGAGTGAAAATATGCAGTGTTTGGGTTTTCTGTTCTTGTGTCAGTTTGCTGAGAATGATGGATTCTAGATTCATCTATGTCTCTACAAAGGACACAAACTCGCCGTTTTTTTATGGCTGCATGGTATTCCATGGTGTATATGTGCCACATTTTCTTTGTCCAGTCTATCATTGATGGACATTTGGGTTGATTCCAGGTCTTTGCTATTGTAAACAGCACTGCAACGAGCATACCTGTACAGATGTCTTTATAAGAGGCCTCAGAAGCAGCACCACACGTCTACAACCATCTAATCTTTGACAACTGGACAAAAACAAACAATGGGAAAACGATTCCCTGTTTAATAAGCGGTGTTGGGAAAACTGGCTAGCCATATGCAGGAAACTGAAACTGGACCCCTTCCTTACATCTTACATAAAAATTAACTCCAGATGGATTAACGATTTAAACATAAGAACTAACACCATAAGTAATGGGAAGTCATTGAAACCTTGTCAGTTGGGGAACTAATTGGTCAAATTCACTTTTTGGAAATTAAAAAAAAAAGGAAAATAAAAAGAACTGACACCATAAAAACCCTAGAAGAAAACCTAGACAACACCATTCAGGACATAGGCACAAGCAAGGACTTCATGACTAAGACACCAAAAGCAACAACAACAAAAGCCGAGATAGGCAAATAGGATCTAATTAAACTTAAGAGCTTCTGCACAGCAAAAGAAACAATAATCAGAGAAAACCATCAACAAACACAATGGGAAAAAGTTTTTGCAATCTACCCACCTGACAAAGGACTAATATCCAGAATCTACAAAGAACTAAAACAGATTTAAAAGAAAAAAATAAACAAACGCATTCAAACGTGGGTGAAGGATATGAACAGACTCTTTTCAAAAGAAGACATATATGAGGCCAACAAACACATGAAAAAATGCTCATCATCACAGGTCATTAGAGAAATGCAAATCAGAGCCACATTGAGATACCATCTCACACCAGTTAGAACGGCAATCATTAAAAAATCTGGAGACAACAGATGCTGGAGAGGATGTGGAGAAACAGGAACACTTTTACACTGTTGGTGGGAGTGTAAATTAGTTCAACCATTGTGGAAGACAGTGTGGCGCTTCTTCAAGGACCTAGAATAGAAACACCATTTGACATAGCAATTCCATTACTGGATATATACCCAAAGTATTATAAATTGTTCTATTATAAAGACACATGCACACGTATGTTCATTGCAGCACTGTTTACAATAGCAAAGACCTGGAACCAATCCAAATGCCTATTGATAGTAGAATGGACAAGGAAAAGTGGCACATATACACAGAATACTATGCAGCCATAAAAAATGATTAGCTCATATCCTTTGCAGGGACATGGATGAATCTGGAAACCATCATTCTCAGCAAACTGACCACAAGAACAGAAAACCAAACACTCTATGTTATCACTCATAGGGGGGTGTTGAACAATTAGAGCAGGTGGACACAGAGAAGGGAGCATCACACTTCGGTCAGTATTGGGGGTGGCTAGGGGAAGGACAGTGGGGTGGGGAGGGATAATGAGGGGAGAAATACCAGATATAGGTGATGAGGGGATGAAGGTAGCAAACCACCTTGCCATGTATGTACCTATGCCACAAACCTGCATGATCTACACATGTACCCCAGAACTTAAAGTACAATAAAAAAAAAAACCTTCAAAAGTGGTCAAAGAATATGAACAGACATTTTTCAAAAGAAGACATCGATGAGGCCAAGAAACATATGAAAAAATGCTCATCTTCACTGGTCGTTAGAGAAATGCAAATCAAAACCACATTGAGATACCATCTCATACCAGTTAGAATGGCGATCATTAAAAAATCTGGAGACAACAGATGCTGGAGAAGTGGAGAAATAGGAACACTTTTACACTGTTGGTGGGAGTGTAAATTAGTTCAACCATTGTGGAAGACAGTGTGGCTCTTCCTGAAGGACCTAGAAATAGAAATTCCATTGACCCAGCAATCCCATTACTGGGTATATACCCAAAGTATGGACATTTTAATAATATTAATTCTTCTGATCCATAAACACATGTTAGCTTTTCATTTACTTGTATTTTCTGCCATCAGTGTACAAATCTTTCACTCTTTTGTTAAAATTATTTCTAAGTGGGGCCGGGCGCGGTGGCTCACGCCTATAATCCCAGCACTTTCGGAGGCCGAGGCGGGTGGATCACGAGGTCAAGAGATCGAGACCATCCTGGTCAACATGGTGGAACCCCGTCTCTACTAAAAATACAAAAAATTAGCTGGGCATGATGGTGCGTGCCTGTAATCCCAGCTACTGGGGAGGCTGAGGCAGAATTGCTTGAACCCAGGAGGCGGAGGTTGCGGTAAGCCGAGATCGTGCCATTGCACTCCAGTCTGGCAACAACAGCGAAACTCCGTCTCAAAAAAAAAAAAAAAAAAAAAAATTATTTCTAAGTGATTTTTGTTGCTATTTTACATGGAATTGTTTTCTTAATTTCTTTTATCAGATAGTTTGTTTTGTGTATAGAAATACTACTTATTTTTGTATGTTGATTTTGTCTCTCGTAAATTTACAAAATTTATCTATAGTTGATATACATTTCGTGGAATCTTTAGAATTTTCTATATATGAGACGATGTCTGCAAACAGAGGCAATTTAACTTTCTCCATTCTGATATAGATGATCTTTATATTTCTCTTTAATAATAAATTATCATCAATAGAATTGAGACATAATAAATATTTTTTCTCGGCACCTTAAAAATATTTTCTCACACTTTTTGGCTTCTTATGTTGCTCTTAAAAAGTTATCTATAAATCTAAATCTTCTGTTACACGTACTTTCATTTATTATCTTTGGTTGCAATTGAGATTGTCTTCCTCTTTTAGTATACTTCCTTATAATATTTTAAATATTTTGTTTAGGACTTTCACTTCTGAGAATTCTTGGTTGAATAATGTTAAAAAATTATTCATCATTATAGCTTTGAATATTATTATTTCCCCTATTCTTTCTGTTTTTTGGAATAATACAAGTTATGTGAGGCTGTTCATTCTTGCTAGCCTTTTTGTTAACTTCTTCATATTTCATATTCATCTTTTACTCTCTAGGCCATATTCAAAATAATTTTTAACTCTAATTTTTATTTTCTCTCTGTTCAACTGTATGGGATCTCCTGGCTTTTTTATTACTTATTTTTTATTTTTGAAGTGTCATTTAGTTCTTGTTCAATCAACATATGCTTTATCTTGTAGAATCATTTTCTCTTTTAGTGTTTTCAAATCTGCTTTTCATAAGCCTGATCATTTTAAACTTATTAATTATATTTTCTGAGATCTTACCCTTCTATTTTTATTTGTATAGATTCCTAGAATTTATCTGACGAATTATCTGCCATTTTGCAGGAGACATGCCCGCTTCTCTAACAATCAATAGTAAAGGACTATTTTTTTCTTTAAAATCCATTATGCATTCATACTTTTCTACATAAAATAAAATGTATTAATAAATAGGAAATAAACTTAGAAAAGTACTAGGTTTTTAAAATATAATGTGTCAAATTTATATTATTACTCTGTCAAGTTGCCATAACCATTTCTGATACCTTCAATTTCTGTACTTGTCTAAGTGATAAGGAGAAAACAGTCCATGAGCCAGCTCCACTCCACAGATCACACTTAAAGTAGCACTGTTCTGCAATGCTTTTGTGTTTGCTTTTGTCTTGCACAGCAAATTTGTCATTAGTATGAGTAAAAATGTTATCTTTAGCTATCAATTGTAGGATTTGCAGATTCTGTGGATAAAGTAAATTTTAACCTGAAACTTATTGAAGTATGAGCCAAGGTTTCTACGAGATATTATATCTCAACAATAGAACAGGTAGGGAAAGACAAGATTCTTTTCTGTATGTCATATTGGTGGATGAATATGTTTCCTGTCCATCCTTTTACTTATAGCTTTTTGAAGCTCATTGCTTTCTTGTGGAGGTTCAGGTGGTAACAGTTCACCTGTGTGTTCCATTCTATGCCCTAACTTTATTCCTGCTCCTGCAACTATAGAATCAGGTAACAAGCTTCTTTCTTTAATTTTAACTCATGTCTTCATTTCTCAACTGTGAATTTAAAAGAATGTTAGATATATTTTTATTTACCTATTCTAAATCTTTATCCAATCAGCTGTTTGTTTATTCAGTCAAAACTATTTCTAGAAAATTGTATATTTCTTTTTTTCCTTTTTATTTCCAATTGTTATATTAAGTTTAGGAGTACATGTGTAGATGTGCAGGTTTATTACATAGATAAATATATGCCATGGTGGCTTGCTGCACATATGATCCCATCACCTGGGTTTTAGCCTAAAATCCATTACCTTTTCTTTCTGATGCTCTCCCTTTCTCCACCCCTGGTCCTTTGACAGGCCTCAATGTGTATTTTCCCCCTGCCCCTGTGTCCAGATGTTCCCATCATTCAGCTCCCACTTATAAGTGAGAACATATGATAGTGGTTTTCTGTTCCTTCATCAGTTTGCTGAGGATAACAATGGCTTCCAGATCCATCCATACCACTGCAAAGGACATGATATCATTTATTTTTATGACTGCATATCATTCCATGGTGTATATGTACCATATTTTCTTTATCCAGTCT